ACTGAAGTAGCATAGACTTTAGCTGGCGCAGGACTCTCAGTACTAGTTGCATTTGGATCAACCATCTCCCCACATTCCCCTCTGAACACAGGTACATGTTGTACGTCCTCTTCTTGCCACTCCGTTCCCTCCACTCGTTTTCTTTTCCAGTTGTCTCAAGAGGAATTTTTGGGAGGCAGTCAGCCTTCAGGTGTCAGGATTGCACCAATGGCAGATTGTCCCACCAACAAAACTGCTTCTTCTTCCATTTTCCGGGCATCAGGAGGGTTCGGCCTTCATGGAAGAGAAAGGAAACTTTGCCGGTGAAAACACTTGGCTTTCCTGGTGATCCAACTGCTTCGGCATTTCACTTCGAAGGCAGCTTGAGCTGCACCTCCATAATTTGTCTGCGGTGTTTGCTGAGGGTGCATCATTTGTCGAGTTAGCAGGTGAAGTGGTCTGGGTATCTTCTCAGGCCAAGGTACAACTACTACTGGCACTAAGTCAAGTACCCGATCAGCAATAGGGGATACTTTCACTTCCTGCCAAGCCGGTGACAGTGCCACGCCCACCTGCCGTCCTTGTAGAGGCCAGGTGGCACGATGCTTCATCTCACTTATCTCCCGAGGTGCTGCGGAGACTTTTCGCTGACTCTAATGTAAAGATTCTTGATTTAGGCATTTTCCTGGAGACCAGTTTTCTTGTTTTGACTTCAACTCTCAAATTATGTCCGCTGGTGGGGCTTCTTGTTTGTTTTGTTCACTTGCCTACTGGCATTCATGAACAATCTTCAGAAGAATATTGAAGTCATATTCATCGGGACAATAGAGTCTTGTACCATCTGCGGTGTGCTCGAGCAGGTCAAGTTCTGACAGGTTTCATCATTAGATGAAACATTTTCATAGCGTCTCCTGCAGTTCCTTCATCTACTTTTCTCTTACCTCTTGTACCTCACCTTTAGTATATAATCAACAGTAATTTTTCTCTGTTTCTTCCATCATCTTGCTCAAGTCAAGTACGATTTAGAGAACGTCTGGTTGTAGCATCCGTTGGGTCGTGCCATATTTGTAGATCACTACCTTCTTTGTTGTATCTCTACATTTGTAGGTACACATCTTCACAAGTCGTAGAATGACTGCAGGCTTGGCATTTAGAGTGGTTCCAGCCCTACATGAAGGTTTTGCTGCTCCATAAATCCTCCCTTTAAAACGCCAGGTTTGATGCATGACCGAACATTGCTGCGAGTAGATAGTGTGTGGTCATATCGGTCTTATGCTGGCTGACTCCAAGGCCTCAGAGGAGAATGACACAGCCAGACTTGCCATGAGGCAGCCTGGTGGAAGGCCCGGTGGTGTCGTTAGTAGGATCCAGCACTGTATCCACTGGCACCTCCTTCTTCACTAGGAGTAGATCAACTGCTGCAGCCCGCCTTGTGGGGCCACCAGGAGATAGGAAACCACTGGACAACACTTGAAATCTTCTGCCTTGATCCTCGGCCAAGTTGGTGGTGAAGAGACGGTGGACGTCAAGAACCTTCTCTGCAGCTGCTGTTCCATGAGCATGGTCTTTTTCTTCTCTTTTATGTCCTCCAGCTGCTTCCTCTCCACTTACTGCGTATATTTTCTGTCGGCAAAATACTTTGTATAATTTTAGGAATGATAAAAAAGTAAGTAAAATACCCTTAATAAATTTTATGCCGCAAACTACAACCGCAATAATCCAATTTTGAGAATCTTCATATTTTTCCATTTACCTTGACAAGGAGTGATGTTCATATTTGAGAGAAATTTGTTGAGGATAATTTGGGGGGTTAATTTATTTACGTTTATTTCTGTCCGTTACTTGGTAAGCCCAAAATAGTCCTAGGCGGTGTGTTCGGGAACTTCCTATGGTATTTTTTTTTTCATTAATACTAAATCTTTTCTTAAGATTTTTTTCTGAAGAAATGTAAATAATGAAGAATAGTAACTCCGCTCATGGACATTTTTACTCGAAGCTCGTCTTAACCGCACTGACCTCTTTCAGCTGGCGGTGGCGGCGGTCTTGAGGAATCAGGGTGTGGGCAGTCGGCAACCGCTTCCGGAGTCAGGAGCACGCTGGGCAGCCTCCCATATACTTGATCATTTGCTCCGCCAGGCCCCGGTGCTTAGCGTCCAGAGCAGCGTGCACAGGACTCACCTCAGACCGGCCACATAGGGGACTGAGACTTGGCCACCTCAGCAGAGGCATGTCAAGATACAGTTGGCACTGGCGGCCTGGACCATAAGGTAAGTGGGTGAGCCACTGACGCAACATGGGGCCAGCGCTGAAACAAAGCCAGGGTGTGTCACCTCTTATAGTTAGTATGGGGTGATCCAGCACCTGCAAAGGTGTGGCAGGTTTCGTAAGACTGTTCTTTCTCCCTGTAGCACATGGAGGAACTTTTGTAGAGTCTAATTATTAAAATTATCATGGAATAGCAATTATAATAATGATGCCTCCAGGACGCCTGTTTATAGGTGTTAATAAAGTGTGTGTGTGTGTGTGTGTGTGTGTGTGTTTTGTGAAGGAAAAAAAGGACTTGCGGCAAACGTCTTTTACGGGTTGTACACCGAAGAGGGAAAGATGATTCCTGTTATAATTGTAAACATTCGTTATATTGTTATTATAAAACATATATAAGGAACACTAACATAGATAAACGTTTATAACCATAAAACATATATTAATGAACAAAAGTCAGCAGTAGGTATCAGGTATTCTCACACTGAACAAAACACACCAGGTATTACACGATGAATATACTGGACATAGGGAGTAAGACCGAAGAGCAACTTTATAATACTACCTGGACGACTTACACCTGTCTCTTATTAACACCTGAGCGACATAAAACTGTCCCTTATTAACACCTGGACGGCTACACCTGTCTCTTATTAACACCTGGACGACATACACCTATTTCTTATTAACACCTGGATGACATACACCTGTCTCTCATTAACACCTGGACGACATACACCTGTCTCTTATTAACACCTGTCTCTTATTAACACCTGGACGACATACATCTGTCTCTTATTACTTACCTGGACACACACACCTGTCCTTGTGTGCCTGGACGACATACATCTGTCCCTTGTTAGCTTACCTGGACAGCCTTACTTTCTGTCTCTTAGCCAACACCTGGACAGCATACATGTATATACTTATTAACGCCTGGACGACACACACCTGTCGCTTATTAACACCTGGACGACATACACCTGTCCCTTATTAACACCCTGGACGACATACACACATATACCCATTAAACTTTCTGGACGGCATCCTTCTCTTATTATACTTACCTGGACGACATCCACCCATCGCCCATTTAACACCTGGACATCATACATCTGTCCTTATTAACACCTGGACATACACCTGTCTCTTGATAACACCTGGACGACATACACCTGTCTCTTATTAACACCTGGACGACATACACCTGTCTCTTATTAACACCTGGACGACATGCTGTCTCTTATTAACACCTGGACTGACACACACACACCTGTCGCTTATTAACACCCTGGACGACATACATCTGTCCATATTAACACCTGGACGACATACACCTGACCTCGCTGGCCAACACTGGGACGACATCTGTCTCTTATTAACACCTGGGCTGACACACACTGTAGCTTATTAACACCCTGGACGACATACACCTGTCCCTTATTAACACCTGGACTGACATACACTTTTATCTCTTATTAACGCCTGTGCGATATACACCTGTCTCTTATTAGCTTACCTGGACGACATCCACTGTGTCGCTTTGTGATAACACTGGACATCATACATCTGTCATAGTAACGCTGGACGACATCCACCTGTCGCTTATTAACACCTGGACAACATACATCTGTCCCTTATTAACACCTGGACGACACCTGTCTCTTATTAACCCCTGTACTGACATACACGTGTCTCTTATTAACTTACCACAGGACGTCCATCGCACGAGCTCTTATTAACACCTGGATGTCATACACACCTGTCTCTTATTAACACCTGGACGACATACACCTGTCCTTATTAACACCTGGATGTCATACACCTGTCTCTTATTAACACCTGGACGACATACACCTGGCTTTTTATTAACACCTGGACGGTATGCACCTCTCCATTAACACTGGACGGCATACACCTGTCTCTCTCATTAACACCTGGACGACATACACCGGTCTCTTAGTAACACCTGGACGACATACATCACCAGCCTCTTATATTAACACCTGGACGACATACACCTGACTCTTATTAACACCTGGACGACATACATCTGTCTTTTTACCCATGTACCTGGACGACTGCCACTGCGCCTCTGTGCACTGGACGACACACACACCTGTCTCTTACACTACTTACCTGGACGACATACACCTGCCTTGATATGCCGCCCTGGACGACACTTTTATCTGTCTCTTAACCCAACACCTGGATGACATATACACCGGTCTCTAGTAGCATATAGTACGACATACACCTGTCTCTTATTAACACCTGGACGACATACACCTGTCTCTTATTAACAGCTGGTGACATACACCTGTCTCTTATTATCGCCTGTGCGACGTACCTGTCTCTTATTAACACCTGGACGACATACACCTGTCTCTTGCCTGGACGGCCTGCACCTTATTAACACCTGGATGTCATACACCTGTCTCTTATTAACACCTGGACGACCCGCAATGCTCTTACTAACACCTGGGCGACATACACCTGTCTCTTATTAGCACCTGGATGTCATACACCCATCTCTTTATTATACTTTTCGGACGACACTTTTACCAATATACTTATTAACACCTGGACGACATACACCTGTCTCTTATTGACACCTGGATGTCACTTTACACTTTATCTTATTAACACCTGGGCGACATACACCTGTCTCTTATTAACACCTGGATGTCATACACCTGTCTCTTATTAACACCTGGACGACATACACCTGTGTCTTATTAACACCTGGATGACATACTCCTGTCCATCATTTCTAACACCTGGACGACATACACCTGTCTCTTGCTACGGACTTTTTGTCTCTTGTTATAACACCTGGACGACATACACCTGTCTCTTATTATTAACACCTGGACGACACACACCTGTCTCTACATTAACACCTGGACGGTACCTTCTCGGCTGGCCTGTGGCATACACCTGTCTCTGGTAACACCTGGACGACATACACCTGTCTCTTATTAACACCCCTGGACGACATACACCTGTCTCTTATTAACACTGCAATGCGATATACACACCTGTCCTTATTAACACCTGGACGACATACACCTGTCTCTTATTAAACACCTGGACGACATACATCACCAATATATTAACACCTGAACGACACACACCGCAATAAGCAGTAACACCCTGGACGACATACACCTGTGTATTAACACCTGCAGACGACATACACCTGTCTCTTATTATTAACACCCTGAACGACGCACTGTCTCTTATTAACAGCTGGACGGCATACATCTGTCTCTTATTAACTTACCTGGATGACATACACCTGTCTCTTATTAACACCTGGATGACATACACCTGTCTCTTATTAACACCTGGATGACATACATCTGTATAACATTTAACACCGGACGACAGCACCTCTTATTAACTTGCACCGGATGACATACATCTGTCTCTTATTAACTACCTGGTTGACTGCCATCTGTCTCTTATTAACACCTGGACGACATACATGCTAATCTCTTATTAACACCTGGATGACATACACCTGTCTCTTATTAACACCTGGATGACATACGCAACCTGCTGACTACTTTGCGGACATATACATCTATCTCTTATTCTAACCACTATGGATAGGCACGTGTATCTCATTAACACCTGGACGACATACACCTGTATCTCTTATTAACACCTGTCTCTTATTAACACCTGGACGACATACACCTGTCTCTCATTAACACCTGGACGACATACACCTGTCTCTTATTAACACCTGGACGACATACACCTGTCTCTTATTAACACTGGACGAGGCTGTCTCTCATTAACTTTCTGGACGACATACACCTGTCTCTCTCAGCCCATTACTTACGGACGACATACACATATCTCTTATTAACACCTGGACGACATACGGTCTCTTATTAACACCTGGACGACGCCGCACACATCTCTTATTAACACCTGGACGACATCCACCTATCGCTTATTAACACCTGGACGACTACACGGTCTCTTATTAACACACCGGATGATACCACCTGTCTCTTATTAACGCCTGTACGACATACACCTGTCTCTTGGCCCTGGACTGACCTCGCACCCACCGCATATACTTATTAACGCCTGGGCGTATAATTGCGCCACCGGACGACATACACGATTGTCTTATTAACACCTGGACGATATACATCTCTTATTAGCGGATGCGCCTATTACCTCTCTCATTAACACCTGGACGACATACACCGATTGTCTTATTAACACTTTCTGTGCGGCATACACGCCTGTCTCTTATTAACACCTGAGGCACCACCCTGTCTCTTATTAACACCTGGACGACATACACCTGTCTCTCATTAACACCTGGACGACATACACCGGTGTCTTATTAACACCTGGACGATATACACCTGTCTCTTATTTACGCCTGTGCGACATACACCTGTCTCTCATTAACATATACTTTGGGGTAATAATTAGATGGTAGGTATTACCTTAAGGATAATTGTATGTTGGTGTTGACATATGAATACAGTCGTCCTGTTATCTTCAGTGAGTGACGTTACTGTTCACTGGAGATTTACATACCTACCTGCCTCTACACACAGTTCTTCGACGCTGGCCATCACATGTTATAAATATTCTTACCTGCGTGTTTAATATTTAATAGGCCAGACACACCTGTGTGGTAGGGTGGGTCAGGTGACCAGGTGACTAATTATCACGGTACCCGCACACTTATTTGTACCCCAGGTAGTGGTGTATGAAAATAATATGTAGGGTGTTGGGGCGTGGGCAGACATGTTTTAATATAAATAATATACTTTCTACAGGTACCTGCATATTATGCAGAGACAGATTTATTGTAAATAATATATGACAGGTTTTTATTTCAGATTAAGGTTGGGAAAGGATGGAAGGCATATGGAAATAGGCTGGCTTCGAACAAAGAAGGATAAGAAGTCACGACATATAGATGCGTGGGGGAGGTGGAAGAGAAGTTTAATAAGAAGGTTAAACCGAGGGGGACGACTTTTATAATACATATTACAGGTTTGTTGGCTAGCACCAGCTAACCTAGGATTTAGGATGAGGTTGCACAATGGTTACTTTGGTTGATAATGACTAGTTTGATTTTATAATTATATGTTTATTAAATCATATTACTATATTTCGTTTTGGACTCACTAGATTTTGACTTGTTAGATGTGATCTTACAGTATATCATCTGAGTTTTAATCTAAGATTGGATCGTTGTGCCGGACATAGATGGGTCGCGGGTTGGGTTGTTGTAGTAGGGACAGATTCCGGGACCCCTCTGTCGATATCTTCCCCGTGTAGGTGGTCTGGGCTGTGAAGGTCGTCAAGGAGCTTTACTAAAACCTTAACCCTTAGGCGTAGGACACAGGCGTTGGTACCATTTTATTTCTCCAGATGGTTTCACACTCTATCTCATGGTAGGAGCGGCCGCTGGCTGACCTCAGACATCTTATTTTTGGAAGCTCTTTAGTTGTTGTTGTCTGGTCTTCGAGTGGGGAGCGAGTGGGGCGATGTGGATGCTCCAACCGGGCCTCACCAGCGCCTTGGCCTGGGTGGACTTGTATCTTCTCTGGCATCCAGTTTAAAGTTTTTAATTTGGCGGCGGCGACTTTGGCTTTCTTTTGTTTGTCCTTCGTGTGAAATGATGCGTCAGAGATGTGTTGAGCTGAGCAACCTGCCTTGTTTAGAGTACTCGAAATGCACAAATGGAGTCGATCATCAATGGCGCCCGGCTTGAATTTGACTATGGGTATGACCTCGAATTTCGTTTTGTTTGTTATATTTTCCATTTATTTTCCTAATCCAAAGAAATCCTCTATTGCCCGGGAGAGCGGTAGAATTCGCCATCCTTACGTGGATTCTGGGCAGGTGACGAGATTTGTGTTACATTACATTCGGCATGCATGGAAGTACTCGCTGCCGACGATTGGGGGTGTAGATCAACCGATGTAGAGGCGTGTAAGGGTTAGTGAGGGCAGAGCACCAGGGCTTTGCCATGAGAGTGAAATTTCCTTTCTGTGTTCCATTTTGCAGCCCAGTTTTGTCTCTGCGGTCCGTAATGAAGTTGCACAGCAAGCGCATCAGTTTTCAAGGTAGCCCCAGTTGTATGATCTTATACTGCAGGCCCGTTTGCCAAACTTTATCAAACTCCTTGCTGACGTCCCTCAGCACTACACGTTTACACTGGGCGGCCAGTCATTGTGTTGGCAGCGATTTGCTTTCGTAGGCCTGGGCAATGGCGGTGGAAGTGCACCGGTACTGGCGGAGCGAACTGGCGGGGATTATCGCGGCACGTCTTCGTCACTTTCAGACCACATCCGCGGCAGCTTGTTTACTATTTTTCGAGGATTTTTGGCTGGTACCTCAGGCAATATTGGTCAGGAACCAGTTTGTTTGGAGGCTTCCCTGCTTTTTTGGTATATACAGGCGAATAGCGGCGATCTTGAACATCTTGAGTATCAGAGGCAGAGGCAGGCATTGCATATGCATGAGCAAGCCTCCCTATCATGTTGTCTAGGGTGTGGGTCAGGATCTTTGCATTTAATAGCGGCTTGCTTGGGTGACTTGTTTTGAGGTATCTTTATGGCCAGCTACAGCCACACATATAGGGACCTATCGCTCGTAGGGTAGCTGTCGTCCATCAGTATAGGCAGGCCAGTCCATTGGAGAATTACGCTGGAGCCAGTGCTGATAATTCTATAGCTGACCCTCCGTGTCCTCTATCGGCTCCCTGTCGGCCTCGGTTTCTCCTGTTCACTAATGGTAAATATCTTCCATTAAATATCGCCGATGAAATTGTTCTTGGTTTCTCATAGGATGTTTTCCGCTGTTTGCGTTGTTTTGGTAGGGGACCTGTTAGAGGTTGAACCGATCAGGCAGCTTGATCCATTTCAGGCAGCTTAGAGATAAATTTAATTGTTGACATCCCACACCAAGGCATCCCCCTTTTTATTTCCATGTAGGCGTTGGCTCTTGTGCACCGGATGTAGTCCCAGCAGCTCTGGGGTACGGTCTCAGCTGCCTCATCTGGTGGGCTAGGTGGCGGTGCGGGGGCGGGTCCCGTGAGTGGTGAGTCGGGATGTTGCTGTCCATCTTCCGTCTTCGTGGTGGCTGCATGGGCCAGTGTTTAGAAGATGTTGGGACTGCCCCCCTCCCCGCCGCGGGGCCGGGGCTCCTTGAGAGGAGTGCAGTCACCTTGGTGCAGGACTGCAGGCCTGATGTTGGTAGGGATCATAGTAGGATTGGGCTGAGAGCGCTTATCACGACGACTGGCGGGTGTTCGCTGGAGTACTGATGGGTCAGGTTAACTTGATTGGGCTGGGGCCGGCCTCTCTGTGCAGAGGATTGCATGGTGTGGCGCTGGCGCCATGCGCTGATCGTCTTCAGGAAATGCATTTCGGTGGTGCGGTTTTCGCCTTCTGGATATTTGTGTACGGTGCACACCGGCGTTGTTTATAAAATTACTTGTCATTAGAACATAAAGTACACTTTGTTTGGAATCCCCCTATGATGTATGTTAGTTTTCTGTGCTTAACTGGTTTAGGTCTTGTTGGTAAGGACGTCTGGGAGGTAGATTTACGCTTTGTGCATATGATAACGGTCCCTAGTTGTCTCCACCTGTACTCCTAGAACTGGAAGCCTCGAAGTCTAGCAACACTCTGCTTGACTCAGTGACCTGATGTACAGCGACACCGTAAAGGCTCAATACCCGTCATGTTCTCCTGGTATACAGTAT